CCACAGTTAGCGGTGCCCCAGGCTGTTCCTAGGCACAAAGCAGGAGCTGTCCCCCACAGGTAGAGTGAATGTAAGCAGTTGGTTTGGGAGACTAAGGTAATTTAACACCATGGGTGCAGACAGATCCATACTGACTGGCTACAGGGCCAGAGAGCAGCCCCAGCAGTGTTGAATTTGTTGGTGCAGGACATGAGGCCACAGCAGCAGGAGAAAAGACCAGGAATGTTTCTTCCTAAGAAAAAAGCCAACCTGCCACAAGGATGCTGTGACCTCCAGCCCCATCTCCACCACCTCCCTGCCCCCGCTGACCAGGCAGCAGCCCCTTCACTGCAGTGGGTCTGCTGTCCACCTCTGCCTCACTGCGAGCAGCAGATCAGCCATCGCATTTTCACAACAGTAGGTCCCATGTTTTATCTGAAAATCTGCCTCATAGTGCACATTGGGTCTTTTCCACCCAGGCTCTTGGTTTCTCTGATTTGCACAGTAGGTAGCAGAGACACAGGCAGAAAGTCAGGTCTTAACAGCCAAGTGAAAAAAGTGGCTCCTGAGGGGGGAAGGGAATGGAGATGCTCCCCATTTGTCTGAAAATAGTAGATGTCAGGCATCATGAGAGATTGCTACTCAGTTTGGGCTTTGGCCTAGAAGTAGTTCTCAGGTCATTTTCTTTGAAATATGTGACTTTGGATGTTAGGCCATTACAAGAGAGAGGTTTCCCAGGGTCTGTCAGTGGAGAATTCTCATCTGTTTCATTTCTGCAGCTTTCCTCCTTGACCTTCATAGTCCCAAGCCAAGTTTAATCTGTATCTCTACCTGCAAAATGGTTTTGCTGGAAGAGAGCCTACTACAGCAGAGAGCCATCTATAGACCTTGATTGCAGGTGCTGATCTGTGAGAGGAGGCTGATGGCACTGTGGCCCCCCACGTTAACTCTGCCATGTGCGGCATCCTCTCTGGGCTGTGGGCACATAGCTGCATCACGTCTCCCCTGCACACACTGCACACACACTGATACCACCGCAGCTGCCTCCCTCCCCCTCCGCCAGTTTGTCTCCTTGCTGCCAGTACAGGGTTTGCGTATCCTCTCTGAGATGATGGATGTTTCAATTGTGATAGGGGTCTTTATTCCATGCAAGCATCTGAAAGCGCTTTGCAAAAATAGCTCGCCACCTCACAGACAAGCAATCTGACCTGCAGAGATAGGAAATAGCTTTACTCGCCTTGGAGGGTATTTTAACATTCCCCACCACCGCGGTAACCTCTCACAAGCACAAATGACCTTCTCCTTGTTAGCACAACCAGGAGACCCCATTTTCCTAAGGTCCTGGAAAGATTAAGTGACACAGGTCCAAGGTTGTACAGGAAGTCTGGAGGGAGCACTGGAAATAGACGGGGGCCCTCCTGAGTCCCTCCGCAACGCCTTGACCACAAGACCATCCTTCCTCTCCCAAGGTTACACATCAGGTCTGTGGTAGAGCCAGGAATAGCACCCAAGTTTCCTGACACCCAAGCTGTCCTCCTGCACTATGTACAAAGTAAGCACAAATATCAATTTAAAGCAATATATAAACACGTGTCTTGCAATTAAACCTAAAACATGCTGTTTGAACTCAAAGCTTCCTACGTTTTGAAAGCTGTGACACACCTCACTCTAAAAAGTCCCCTTCCACAAATGGCAGCCAATACCTCCCTGCAGCTAACCTTTCCTGCTGTTTCAGTGCCTCTAAGTTCCTGACATGTCCTGTCCATGCCAACCCTGCAAATACCTCTTGCCACAGAGAAACAGCTGGCAGAGGCGTGGGCTGAGGGGTGCCCTCTCCGGCCACCCTGTTGAGACCTGGCACCGAATGAGGCCAAGCCCTCCCTGGCCGCTGCAGGGCGGGGGGTCAAGGTGGGGGCGCGAAGGGACGGTGCCACAGCAACTGCCTGAGGAGGGATCCCAGGCCCCCAAGGTCCTGGCACAGCATGCAGGCTGGCACTGGGGGGACAAGCTGCCCAGGGGGCAGACCTGGCTAGACCAGCCATGGGCTTTCGCGTCCCCCACCTGTGGGGACACACGCTGCATCAATACATGCAGCTTGCCCAGGGAGAGCCGGAGATGTGCTGTGTCAGGAGGGGCACGGTGCCATGTGTCCCTGCAGCTCGTTGGAGCCTTTCCATTAATTTTAACGGGCTTTGGATCAGGACCTGAATTCTCAGCTGTCCCAGCTAAATGGCCTCCCCAGGCAGGGTCTCCTCTCATTTTAGAACGAGGAGGCCTTTCAGAGACCCTGCTGACAGGAGGTTCCTGCTGCTTTTTGGCAGCAGAGCTCCCGTCCTCAGGTGAGCGCTGCTCTGGCAGGACGGAGGCAGGCAGGCACCTCTGCTGCCCCTTGCCCACAGTGTGCACCGCCTGCACGCATGGCTCAGCACCTGCATGTGCCACCCCCTCTCTCTCTCTCAAGCAAACACACACATGACTTCCAGCCCCTGCCCAGATCATCCATGTTTTTCCCCAGAAAGGCCCAGGTACTAAAGGTGAGGAGCGTGGGTCCAGTGCTCCACATTGCATGTCTTCAACCTGCTCTGATCACCAAGACCCCCTGTATACACACACACTCAGGTTTGGGTGACTTAGTAATCCTGCACAATAGATAAACCCTGCATGTGGCAGTAGCCCCAACCCTGCTCAAGACAGAAACAGAAGAAGCTGTTGGGCTCATCCACACAGCTGCCATTTCAGAAGGTGCTTCAGAAGGACAAGACCATGTCCTTCTCTTTGCCCACAGTACGTTTTCCTTCACTCACCAAGCTCAGCGCTTCTGGTAATTAGCACACTTGGACAAACAGAGCTTTCTGAAGTTGTTTTATTTTTAAGCGGTTAGGTAGATGCTGTGCCTTTTTACAAGAGCAAGGAGCTGTGTGCTTTTCCAGACCTTTACCTGACACCATATTAAAGTAGTACTTGCTGTAGCACTAAAGATCTGATGTTATAAAGGCACTCAGCCATCAATGACCTTCTGTTCATTACTGCTATTTCTACAGAACCAGCATTAAGAGGGCCTAGCTGAGACCATGGCACTGACTGTGCAAAGTGCAGTACATCATAAGAGATAAGCCTGCTCCAAAAAGCTTGGGAAGAAGAGGAAACAGAGAGAAATAAAGTGATTTGCCCAAGGCTGAAAAGCAAATCAGCAAAAGAGATGGCAATAAAACCTACCAAGGCTCACTTGTCTGTCCAGTCTGTGATATTATGTTGCTCTGAACACCTGCTGCCATACACACCGTTGTGTCTCATTTAATATATGATGCATTGACTGGTTATTGGCAGGTTGTTATGTTACCACTCAGACTGAAAATGCTGTTCAGACCATCACTGACAGGCTGGGGCTTAATACCTCACTTCACTCTCCTCATGAAAACTTTCCCTAAAAAGATAGTTTGGGATAAATGAAGAGGATGACCCTGTCGGGTCACTTCATAAATGAGTTGGTAGGTCTTGTCTAAGGTTTGGCTTAGCAAGAAGGCCTTATAGATGGACCAGCCCCTGCAGTCAGTGTGAGTTTTCCATTGACCTCACACCAAAGTACAGTTCCAGTGGTTCATGTACTTATGTACACTGAAACAAGGGGAGCACATACATACTTTATAGTTATAGATCACCAGCTGCGATAATTGTTTGATTATATCTGCTGTCCCACTCTGTGTTTAGGATAGCGTCCCCTCCCCTGAAGTGAACAGAAACAGAGGATTATCATCAGCTCACCAAAGCTGCAGGAGGTGGCCCACAATTATTTGGGTTCAGCTTTAATGGAGCAAAAAGGAAATTATTTCCTAGATTGTCTTTTTCTTCCTGAAGTGGAAGAACACTTTGCCTGTTTCTGAAGGGCATCTGCAAATTAACACAAAGCACAACCTGAAGGAGAGCTAGTTAGGGCAAACTAAATTGGGAAAATTGCCTGAGCGTTCAGGGCCAAGCCAGGGGCAGATATGAAGGCAGCAGGCACCAGGGGCAGAGTGGAAACTAAAGATGCAACTAATGCCACAGATAGGTATCACAGCCAGGAGAGTTGTGGCCACCAGTCAATTCAGTGTCGCCCTTTCCTGGAGAGGGAAGTGCCACCCCCAGCAGGTGTGGAGAAGAGGAGGCTGAGGGGTGACCTTATTGCTCTCTACAACTACCTGAAAGGAGGTTGTAGTGAGGTGGGTGTTGGTCTCTTCTCCCATATAGTTAGCGATAGGACAAGAGGAAATGGGCTCAAGCTGCACCAGGGGAGGTTTAGATTGGATATTAGGAAAAATTTCTTCTTGGAAAGGGTAGTCAAACATTGGAACAGGCTGCCCAGAGAGGTGGTGGAGTCACCATCCCTGGAAGTGTTCAAAAAACAGGTAGACGTGGCACTCTGGGACATGCTTTAGTCTAGTCTACCCTTGACTGGTTTAGTGTGGACTTGGTAGTGTAGGTTAATGGTTGGACTGGATGATCTTAAAGGTCTTTTCCAACCTAAACGATTCTATGATCCCATGGGTGCAGACAAAGGACCTGAGCTGGGGGCCCTCACTGGCATGGCCTGGGTGTCCCAAACCCCCCTGGACTCCAGGCAAGTATTTCAGGTTATGAGAAATGAAGAGCTGAGTCATGACAAGCTCCACGCCTGTATTGCAACAGAGCGCGCTCGTGTTGCTCTTCCTTGGGAAGTGATGACATATGTGTCATCATATGTTGGACACAGCCCAACATGACTGAGCAAACATTACTCAAGGTTTTGACAGAGATTCACCTTTGGGGTAAGAGAAGTGAGCACAACCATGGGGTCAACATTTCAGAAGGTTAGGAGGGGAAAGAGGGGGGTCTACACAGAACAAGTTGTTCCCCAGTCTTTGTGACAGGTCTCGGTCCTACCCCATCCACCCACGAGTCCACAGAAGCCTGTCAGATGCCTGGTGGCAAGGTTCAGTCAGTTCATCATCAGTTATGGAATAAACATAGCACTCTGGTTATCATTAATAATATTTATTTTGGAAAAATATTTTTAAAATTAATTTCTTCATTAACAAAACGGTAAAAAAAACTCAAATAACATTTGCACAATATTCCATAAATACATTTATATACAAAAAAATATAGTCACATAGACCCGAAGTGCCTTTGTACATATTTACCAAAAAATTTAAATTATAAAAAAATGAACATCACAAAATACTCAAGCTTTACAATTATCATGAAAATATTTTTACAGATTGAAAAAAATAACACACTTTTTCTCACCTAGTAAAAACACATTTTAGTATCAAAAAAGACAATAAAGGCAGTGTTTGTGTCTCTAATTCAAGAAAAGACTGGCTCATAAGAATCCAAAATACACACTTCAGGCAGTGCATGCTTCTTACGTAGTAATTAAGTCCATTCATTTAAATATATATAGAAAAGCAACTGACCATAGTGCAATGATAAAATTCATAAAAGGCAGTGCAACAGTAATCCTTGAACACAGACCTTTGCCTGGTGTCCATCTTGTTTCTTTATTTTGCAGTCACTTTGCTAACTTCAGTAGAGAACCAGCTCAAGCCTGAATTTAGTTTCTCAGCAGCAGTCAGTGAAGGAATCTATCTCCCATTCCTCTTTCAGCAGCATTCATTGGGGCACATCTCCTCTGAAATTGTTCTGAACAACCACCTTGCCATATCGCCTCTGGTTTACACCTGGTGAGAGAAAACACTAGCAGAGATCAGGAGAAGTTAATGGAAAGTAAGAGGGCTAAGGCTGCAGAGGGTCGGGACTGTCGCCAGGCAGGAATGGACTTTGCATGAAGCACACTAAGGGGTAGGTCAGCAGACCACAACCACACCAGCCACACCGTTATTTTACCCTTGTCTGCAAAAGTCTTTGTACCCATAACATCCACAGCAGCAAGTCACTGAGCTTGCCTTTACAACATCCACAGCACAACAAAGTCAAGCTAGCTGTATTTCAACAGGTACAAATCTCTGCGGCACCATGGAAAAGAGTTTAGCTGCCCTGACGTGTGTTAGATGAGGGCTGCACACCGAGAGTTCTCTGCTGTTCCAACTGCCAGGCAGTATACTAACCTCAGTTGCTATGATGCACTCGTCTTTCTCTTCTGATATGACATACACCGACTGGTACTTTGTGTCCTTTGAAGTGGAATATACTGAATCTGGTCGTTTTCTTTCAGAAGTATCACTATTGAAGACAAAAAGAGACAACACAGGTCAGATGGCTGTTGCTTAACGCTACCTATGAGACACACACACCCCCTTCAGAGTCAAGCTGCCCCCCATGCTCAGATGTGAGAGATACCTCTTTAGTTGTACTGCACTTTTCTCCTCTGCCTCTGAATCATACGTTTCACACTTGGCTTCACATTTGCTGTGCTCCTCTTTAACAGAGTCCTCGTTCTTGAGTTCATGCACCAAATTGTAATCCACTGATGGGTATCTGACTTTGTAGCCATTTTTATCGGAGTTATCGCTGTGAAAGTCTACTTTCTTATTTGTATTTTTAATCTGAGTGGCACCAATGACACTTATGGAAATGTCCTTCTCGCGCTGGCAGTTCGCCAGGTTGTTCATGGTCTCAGTCTCGCTCCTGCAGGTGTCGGGCTGGTGGTGCCTCTTCTGCACTCTGAGCCTGACACAGACAACCACAGCAGCACACCCTAGCAGCAGCATGAGGACCAGAATAATCCCAGCGCAGACAGCAATCCAGGGGAACTGGGCGTTCTGGCCTTCTGTGTACTTCTCGGTGAAGTCAACGATGACCGGTCCCTGAGGTGGCTCAGGAAGCAAAAATTGGCAGTTGAGCCCGCCGTACCCCCGGGCACACTCACAGACATAGCGGTTGTTTCTTTCATGGCAGGTGGCCCCGTTGTGGCAGGGGTTGTGTTCGCATCTGCTCACCGGGGTGCTGCAGTTCTTCCCGTTGTATCCCGGGGGGCAGGTGCAGGAATAGTCATTGATGCCATCCTGGCAGGTCCCTCCATTGACGCAGGGAAAGGAGGCGCAGTCATCCACGTTATCATCACAGTGTCTCCCAGTAAAGCCAGCCTGGCACTGGCATATGTAGGAGTTCCCCAGATCGACGCACTGGGCCCCTGCAAGACATCAAGGGGGACGAGGGCTGAGTGGTGGGCAGCCAGACCCAACAGCCTCCCACCTGCTGCTCTTGGGGCAACTGTCAAAACTGGCAGCTGAGAAAAGCTTTCTTTTTGAGAGGTTAGATCAACCTTTGCCAAGTCTGATCCACCATAAAAAGTATGGGGTTTTTTGGGGGAAGATACTTGTTAATCAGATCTATCTTTCATTCTCCATCCTTTTCCCTTTTTAACATTTCACTCAGCTTGGACAACAAAGCATGTCCAGATCAGGTTAACACCACAATCTCATGTTACAGAGTTTGCGTGGCAGTGAATGAGGAGGACTGCAGTAAAGAAAGTCTTCATTAGTTTAATCAAAACAGGAAGATTACTGTTACCCGATCACAAGTAATAATATTTAGCACTTGTATGGCATTTTGCATCCACAGACCTCAAAGAGTCTTTGCAAAACATTTGCAAATATAAACCTCCACATTTTTATGCATGAAGCTTCAGGCCAAGTTACCTGGCCATGGTCACCCCTTGAGAAAATGCAATCGGCAGCAGTGGCACAAACCACACTTTTTTAAGTACAGTTCCTCCACCAAGTCAACTATTGACATGACATCGACCATGATTGATCAGTGGGCCTTGTTATGAACTCCAGACCAGAAGCCAAAGTAACTGGATGGTCTCCTTTCAGAAAGTCACTGCAGCATGTTTGGCCTTACCATTAGCACAAGGGCTGGAACTGCAGTAATCGATTTTCTTTTCACAGTTGAACCCAGAATAACCCAGTGGGCAGCGGCAGCTGTATCCCCCATCAGGGTTGTCGGTGCATCGCCCACCATTGAAGCATGGTCCATCAGCACAAGTCATTGCGCTCAGCTCACAGTTTTTACCATAGAAGCCTGGGGGGCAGGTACAGGAATAGCTGTTCTCGAGATCCTGGGGGGGAAGAAATGAGAAATGGTCAAAATATTTATCTGAAGTTGCTTTGAAATCCAAAAAGGGATTTTGAAAATCAGTAAAACTGACATTAACTCCTCCCTTGGGGTTTCAGATGGCACAAGCAACTCAAACTTACAGTGCAGCTTCCACCATTCTTGCAAGGGTTGGCATCACATTCATTAATTTCAATCTCACAGTTGGAGCCTGTGTACCCAGGTCGGCAGGAACAAGTGTAGCTCCCCTGACCCGTGTTGGTGCATGTGGCACCGTTCTTGCAGGGCTTGTGGTGGGTGCAGTAGTTCAGGTCTGTAAAAGATTTTTTTTTAAAAAGAGGGCAGTCAAGATACTTGCTACTTTGCAAGGCTAGCACAGGGTGGGTGAGCTGGAAATAGCCACTTGCTTTCTGCGTTTTAAAACAGATGCTCAGGCAAGGACTGAGAACTCACCCTGATTGCAGAAAAGGCCACCCCAGCCTTCCTGGCAGTTGCACTGCCATGGCTGCTGACAGGTACCATGAAGGCAGCCTGGGTATCGGATGCATTCATCACAATATCGCCCCTGCCAACCCACTCTGCATCTGAAAAAAAAAACCAACAACAAAGTCTCATCAGATTTAGACTTCTCACAGCTGGAAACCCTATTGCAAACTCCGCCAACACACTGATGCCAGGGATCAAGTTTCCTAAAACGCCTCAGTGATCCTTCATGTGAGAAAGTCACTGAATCCAACCGTAGCATCAGCTTTCATCAGTCCCAGCTATTTCTTCCACTTCCTTAGATAGAGCCATGGTTCCAGGTAGTTAATTTGTTTACTCTAATAACAAACAGCTAAACCTTACACACAGCACTGGCTAAACCATGACAACTCATTAGGTTAATATTAACGGCACTGATGTTTGACTTGTAGATTAATACTTTGATCTGGCATCACCTGGATTTCTCAAATCACCATCTAATATGAAAAAGGCATTTAAACCGACCCTTCAAATGACCAATGGCTTACTTAACACCAGAGCATCAATGTTAAAGACAAAGAAGGGAGCAGGAGGGGAGTGGAAAACTTACTTGCATTCCCCAGGTTTGTCACAAAAGCCATGTTGCTCATCGCATCCAGGCAAACAAATTGCTGTAAACAAACCAAGCAGGGAGAGACATCAGCACCGGGGCCGAACACCTCCCTTTTACAAGTCCAATCCTGAGAGCACCTTGCGGGTGGGGAGGGAGCCCCTTTTACTAGGTCGGGGCAGTTAAGTGCAGCTGAGTTAATCTCTGGAGTCTGCAGGAGTATTGATCTTGCCCCGTAACTGGGCACTTTACTTATCGCCGGGGATGAGCATTCTTCTTAATACAGTTGCCCACAGACAAAAGAGGGCTCACAATTGCTCCCTTCCCCACAGCCCCTCACCCCCCTTCCCTTCCCAGTGAGGGTCAGAAGTCCTTTTTTCCAATTCTATGCACACAGCTCCACCTCTTAATATCCCCCGAAAGTGTGTGTGCAGATAAGAGTGGACAGCTGGTGTGCAGGGTGCCAGTGCAAGACAGCTGCTCTATTGTCT